TTAAGTTAATCCTAAGACTAAGGATTAATTAATTAAGTAATTAAGTAATAACTTAATTAATTAATAATGTCATTAAAAATTAAAAAAATCAATGTTTTATATTAATGAATGATTTAAATTTATAATTATTATTTACTGATGCCACTTAAGTAGATATTATATAGAAAAGATCGGTTTCTGGAGAGAACTTAACATTCTCTCCTATGCGAACTTATTAGCTGTATCATTGTGCATAGTTTTCTTTGTGCATATAAGCTAAAATATACAATTTTTGGAAAGCCGAACCAAATTGAACAGATTTTATAGGTGCTTGATTATCCAAATATCATTTAATCCATGTTAGTATTCTATAGCACAGAATTCAAAGGAATGCAGTTCTGCTTGAACAACTATAGAAAGTTTTCTATTTGAACGGCTAGATTGAATCTGAACGTCTGTACTAGAATTTAAATTTTTATTTAAACGTTTTAGTGAAAATAAAAAACTATTTGAAAGCGGGTGAATTAGAATTGTGCCAACTTCTAGCTTTAATGATCTATAAAATATTTCAAAGTATTTTTATTTGAGTTTGCATTAATATTTTACTGTCAAAAGCAATGTACGATCTTATCGCAAACTTAAACCCAGATTAGTTTTATTAGACTACTTTGGCCTTATTATTATTTTTAAGTCTTGTTTGCCGGTAAGAGAAAGGTTTTTGTGTTATGCTTTTGTTACCTATGATTTTTACCTATTAGTGACTTGATTCTGATATATCACAGTTTAGCAATATTGGAATTTTTTGTCAATTGTGCGAACTGTACGTAAATGTCAGTTTCAGATTAACATAGGTTGCCTCTTTTTTCTGCTACCTAGAAAGTTATACGTAATTACTTGGACACACACTTTATTATTTACGGGTCTTTCCATGTAATACATATTAGTGGTATTTATTTGATACCAAATATACTATAATATTTTTGACAATATTCTTAGATTGTTGAACTTGTTTTTTAAGAAGAAACTGGAAACTAGGGTTTTTTTATTTTAATTAAAAAAAATATCTAAGCTTATTAATGATCGAAATTTATAACGAAATAATATCTTATTAACCAATAATTTAATTATGTTTTCCCTTTCGAACATAATTTCTGCAATTTGTTTATTTGTTTAAACCGCCTTATAAAAAACTATCTTAACTATTGATTTTCCACTAATAATTAATTTTTGTATTTGTGCACTATTAAATAAAAAAATTATTTTAATAACAATTCCATACCACGTATAAACGTATTATGGTTAAGTCCGATGTTTGCAATAGCAGACAACCCTTTACTGACTCCAAAAAATTTGGGAGAGCGCATAAAGTTAATATATATTGCATTTATTAGTTAATTTATAATTTAAAAATTTTTAGTTTTTAGATTAAAAATTGTATTGCTTTTATATTTAAATTGCGTTGATTTGCATTTGAACCTATGAACTAATTGTAATTACGAATTTAGATGCATCATAATAGTGATAAGAATATATTTGTTGTATTAGTCCATAGACTTAAGCTCATTATTCTGATTATACAATAATTGTACTGATCTTTAATAATAAATAATTTTCCCAGGCGCCAAGTCAAGAGGAGATGCAAATGGCAATATTTGAATAGGTATGGTTGTAGTTGCATATTGATGCACATCAACTGAATCCAATAGCACAATTCCTTTCGAACACCCGTGATACTAATTTTTTTTTGATTTTCATCTGCACTATACTTTGAACCTAATCTTTAAAAAAACAAAGAAAGGAAGAAGTATTCTATTTAAATTATTTAATTTTATAATTATCATTCATTTATTTTTTACAGATGTAATGTGTTAATAGTTGGAGGCGGTGCCGGCGGTTGTGCACTTGCCGCAAAGCTGTCCTCCAAACTAGGAAAAGACAATGTTATCGTTATTGAACCTTCAGATGTAATATTTATTTAGTTATTCTTTTATATAAAATATATTCTTATAACTTCTTTTATATATGTTACGCTTTAAAGAAACATTACTATCAGCCTATGTTTACACTAATTGGAGGCGGAATGAAACGTTTGGACCATTCGTATAAGCTGATGGCTAATGTTTTACCCAAAAAAGTGAGATGGGTAAAAGATAGGGCTGTAAATTTCGATCCAAAAAATAACACCGTTTCGACAGCCAATGGTACCAGCATAAGATATGATATGCTCCTTATTGCCACAGGATTACAACTAAATTACGACAAAGTAAATTTACAAATGCATTATTTTATTAAAATTGTAATAAAATTGTAATATGATATTAAATTTAATTATTTACTATCAGATTCCGGGGTTAGTTGAAGCGCTCTCAATTCCTAATGGCAAAGTTTGCTCGATTTATTCTCCAAAATATGTTGACCGCACGTATCAATGCCTACGAAATATTGAAGATGGTAATGCTATCTTTACGTATCCAAGTTCACCAGTCAAGTGTCCGGGAGCACCGCAAAAGATTTTATATATAGCGGAACATTATTTCCGAAAGGTGAGTTTTAAGTGTAATAAAAAAGACCTCAAATATATGGCATTGAGATGTTCATTCTGAATGTTCTGGATTTGTTGTATATCACACTCTATAACTAAGTTTATGATAGTATACAGCTTAGTACCCAACTTCCTGTCCACAGTAGGTCTCTTAATTTATAAGGTCAAGTGTAAAGCAAACAATTAATTTACAATTTTTTGTATTAAAAAGAGGATTGTTGACTAATGAATTGTCAACTTATGGATTCCTTTACATTTGGACAAATACAAGTGACGGTACAAAAATAAGAATTGAATAAAGAACTTATAATAACTTTTGTTGTAAATTGGGTAGAACTTTAACCAAAATATTTTATTGAGCATCCTATATAGTCTTGAAATTAGTTTTCAAATATACTCCACTGCATGGTTTTGTTCTTTTGTGCTATACATCATAAGGTAATAAACCAACATCCATCATCCGTTATAATAACACATTCCATCACAACTATTCGTAAATTAATCAAGATTCAGCAAAAAACTTATCGAAAACTCAAAGGTCTATTATAGTGGGAATGTTTCTAGTCCCTGAGAAGCACTTATCGTTTAATTTTTTGATTTGAATTCATTTAATTTCTTTAATTAAGTCTCAATTCCTAACCCTCTAATAGCTCAACAAACGAAAAAATATAAATGTCATATATAACACATCTCTACCAGTTATCTTTGGTGTGAAGCATTACGCGGATGCACTATGGAAAATTATTGAGAAACGTGACATTAAAGTTAATTTGCGACGAAATTTAATCGAAATAAAACCGGAGTCAGACACAGCAATATTCCAAAATCTTGACAACCCCAGTGAAACGTTTGTGGAAAAAGTAAATACAAATGTTAATACAAAACTGTACTCATATAGTAAATTAAAACTTTTTTACAGTACAATATGTTACATGTAGTCCCTCCAATGAGCTCACTAGATGAACTTGCAAAATGCAAGGAACTAGTAAATGAAGCTGGATTTGTAGATGTTGATAAAGACACAATGCAACATGTTACATATAAAAATGTGTTTGCAATAGGAGACTGTGCCTCATCTCCAAATTCAAAAACAGCCGCCGCAGCTGGTAAGTATATATTATTTACATTATTTTACTGTTTTATTTATTTTAAATATTTTTTTTTAATTTAATTTTAGCTGCACAATCTCCTGTCGTATACCACAATATGATTGCCGCTCTAAATGGCAAACCTCTGAAAGGAATATACGACGGTTATGCATCATGTCCATTAGTTACCGGTTATAATAAATGTATATTAGCAGAGTTTGACTATAATCTGACACCACTAGAAACGTTCCCATTCCCACAAAATAAAGAACGGTACACAATGTTCATTATGAAGAAAGACTTCATGCCTACACTCTATTGGCAAATGATGTTAAAAGGCTACTGGAACGGTCCAGCTCTAATGCGTAACATGATGTCAGTATTTAAATTCGGCAAATAGTGATTGTATTCAGAAGTATGTCTGTTGTAAAATCTTCTTTCAATAATGTCAAACTTTTGAAATTATTTCGACTTAATGGTATTTTTAAATTATAGTATAAAATTCTCACGTTGAATGTAATGTATTTTTATGAAGTTTTTTAAAATTTGTAGAATTTTTTATTAAATAATTCTTAATGCAAAAGATAAAAAAAATTTAAATTATTTATTTCAAAGGTTTAAATAAAAAAAAATATTGCTGCAAAATATGTATTACTCTTACATATTTATTATTTAACCTACATTTTGTAACTAATTGATATGAAATTATTCTCCTTACTTCTATTTAGCCGTAAAGATGTGCAAATAATATAAGTCTGAAAGATACGGGGGCTGCCTTTTAAGTCTGGTCTATCAAACCTGTCAATGAAAGCATAGTGCTTAGTAAATAAAAATGGTTTGATTGTTTTTCAATGTATTCTCCATAATGATCAATATATTTTTCCATTCGATTGAACCATTTTGCGAAACAATTTTACCACTTTGAATATGGTATCTCCAAAACCTGGGTTTTGAATGTCTCAACGGCATGTTCGGATGTAGAAAAATGCTCAACACGCCTTTTTTTCATAATGTATGAGAACAAGAAGAATTCGGATGATTCGTCAATTCGACGTTTTGGGTGCTCAAAAACTCTTGATGTGTGGGAGCCCGCATTGTCGTAATGGGGGATGATCTTCTTTTGACGGTTGATTCTACTCTCAAGTTTATCTGAAAAAACATGCTACCATTTGCGTGGATTTGCTCCTTCTGCACACAACTTTTATTGAATTCTGCTTACTGTGGTAAACCCAAACGCGGGATTGCGTTTTTTTTCGGGCTCATAAGCGTATAATATGGTTTATTGCCTGTC